TGTGTGTGTGTGTGTGTGTGTGTGTGTGTGTGTGTGTGTGTGTGTGTGTGTGTGTGTTTACCTGGATGAGGTAGTGTGAGCAGAGGCTGAGGAGCTCCAGCAGCTGAAGGTGGCTGCCTGCAGACAGGACGTCCTGGATGACAGATGGCTCCAGCAGAATCTGCCCACAGCAGATAATCAAAGTCATCAGAATTTACGTTTCCTTGTAGTGGAGCTGCAATTCATTTTGACACTTTTTAACATTCATAAGATGAACTAAATAATTCTGGTAATTTTATATTCAGGATGGCCTTTAAAGTGGCAAAAAAATAGAACAAAATGAAAATGCAGAATTAAAAATAAAAAAATTATGTACCAGTGTTGGAAAAACATCCACACAGTTGCTGTATAACTTGTAAAAGAAAAACAAAACAAAACTGAATTTACCGTCAAATACTGTATTTTATGTTTTTTTATTATTATCACCTATCACTAAAGGTAGAAAGGACAATAAGTGTTTTTTCATGTCTGTGTGTTTCTTGTTTGTTAGCAACTGATGTACAGATTTACTGAAAGTTTCAAACATTAATCTAAAGAAAGAAAGTAATGGATGTGCATCTAATTTTTGGCTCAATTCAAGACGGCCAATACAGCTAATCAACATTAATTAATACAGAAATGACAATAGACAATTCATTTATACAGATGTTTAGTTAAAGGTGGATGTGGTAGTAGCTGAGAGTCATTCACAACATACTGTATATGAGTATTGAGTTTCCATATAAAGTCATTTTCAGAATGTCTGACACTATTTTGTTTCAAGATAAAATAATTTTAGTTTAAAACTCTGACAAAAGGCAGCAGGTGATATGCATTCCTTCAAACAATATTAGACCTTTCATTTATTTGTATTTGTATTTAGTTTAATTTTGATGTTAATTTAGAAATAATTCATTCATTTAGTCATTTTCTATACAAGACTTAAGTAACACAACCAGTACAGATGCATGATTCAGATGTTGTAATGCTTTCAAACTTTACTCAGAAAAGAATAATGTAATACAAACAGCATTTTCTAATAAAATCACTTAAATATGTTCATATTCATATTCAGATGAGACACTAATTGAATTAAACTATGTGGAATATGGTCATCTAATTTAATCAGACCTTAATCACACTATCATGTCCATAAGATTTTACACTTTGTGTCATGATTTTGTGTTGGTTTTACAATTTGAGTTTATTGTGTTTGTGTTACTTCCTTGTTAAGGACTGATTGTGCTCAGCAGGTTTTTTTTTTGTTTGTTTTGTTAGTTTCCTCTTTGTGTCACTTGTTGTGTTTCCCTGGGTTACACCTGCCTTCAGCTCCCCAATCACAGCTGCACCCCACATCTATGTTAGTTCAGATGTTTCTGTTGGTTTAACGTGTATCTGTTAGCAAAACAGAAATTACCTTCTGTTTGGGCTCTCCAGGACTCAAATGAGGAGGGCACCTTTTAGTCCACAGGCCTGTCCAGCTAATTAAACCACTACCTTATCCTTTCTAACTCTACTGACATTCAGTCAATTAAGAACTGCACATGGTACTTTCTTAATTTGTTTTTATTTATCTTTTGTAGTGACATGCTTTTAATCTGAAAATTTCATCTTAAACTTGTAAACTCTTGGGAATGCAGTTTGCAGAGAGCAGTAACTGTTTATCATTTATGAGCACAAGTACCTGAATTTTGTTAACCTTTTAGAACCTTTACTGGTATAAAAACCCACTTTGTCAGGACCAGTAGTCATTTTTGGGACCAAAGTCCTGTCCTAATTTGGAGGAATGCCATTTTTGGGTTGGGGGTTTAGATTTAGAACGAAGGTATGAGTGGAGAAGGGTTAGGGTTATGTATGTAATGGGATCAGGGTTAGGATACAGAAATGAAAGGAAGTCAGTGTACAGTCCTAAAAAGTATAGAAATACCAACTTGTGTGTGAGTTTGTATCTACTTTTTGTGCCTTCTAATTGCTACTTGATGAATAATAAAGAGATTTGAATTGATTTAAAAGAAGGCTGAGTAAAAATGTGAACAGGTTCAAACAGCATAATTGGAATATTGTCTTATTGTGAATAAGGTCAATGGCTGAAGCATAAATGTGTAAATTAAAGTGAACAGTACTTCTGTTTTAGTAACAGTCTGCTTGATTTTACATTACTGTGTTTGCAACAACTTATCCAGACATACTGTATGTTGTTCTTGTTGTACTCAAATGTATCCAGTTTAATTGAATGAACAGCACTTGAAACAATCCGATAAAAGCCTCCCTGTTTTTGCTCTATCACTTCAATGCAACATCCTTCTAAACTAAAAGCTGAGCAGGATATGTTAGACTTCAGTGTGAGTATCACAAATGTACAAGACTACAAGGATGGATTCTATTATACACTGGATTATTTAAATGCTTATTATGAAATCATAAGGTCATAATTTTGGGTGAAGAAAATATTAGATGAATTTTGTCTGAAGGAATGTATGTTGCCCAACAATTTTAATGTAGAACTTGTAAACTAAGATCAAATTATGGGGCATCTTCTGAAAAATCCTTGAATTTTGTCCCAGTTTCTTAGCAGCCTTTTGGAAATTGCCAGGATTTTTTGCGTATCACCTCACGTGACCTCTCCCTGCGATGCCACCTTATCGTGGTGGAGAGGTTTAGGTGTCCCAATGATCCTAGGAGCTATGTTGTCAGGGGCTTCGTGCCCCCGGTAGGGTCACCCAAGTCAAACAGGTCCTAGGTGAGGGATCAGACAGGACGAAAACCACACTGCTCTGGACTCCACCAAGGTTGCCCTTTGTCACCGATTCTGTTCATAACTTTTATGGACAGAATTTCTAGGCCGAAATGAGTTTCCTTCGCAGGGTGTCTGGGCTCTCCCTTAGAGATGGGGTGAGAAGCTCAGTCATCCGGGAGGGACTCAGKGTAGAGTTGCTGCTCCTCCACGTTGAGAGGAGCCAGTTYAGGTGGCTCGGGCATCTGGTTAGGATGCCTCCTGGACGCCTCCCTGTTGAGGTGTTCCGGGCACATCCCACTGGAAGGAGACCGGAGGCAGACCCAGGACACGCTGGAAAGACTATGTTTCTCTGTCCACAGCAGAGTAAAAAGAAACAGTGGCTGTCTGACCTTTGCAAAGGTAAATAAGATTGGTGAATAAGATAGGCTTCTCATGTATCGGCCAATCGCTGATCTCCCAAAATTAAGGAAATCGGTGCACTGCACCCTAAATAAAATCTGTCAAATAGTTCTTTCTTGAGATATTTTGCTAATATAGAGAAACAATGTTGGATCTAACAGTAAATAAAAATATTAAAAAATGTGATGCCATACTGACTATTAGCTCACTTTTTGTAAAACTAGCTAAATTATAGGTATAATTGTGCTTTCTAAGGTCAGTTGGCTTGGGCAGCCAACTTGAATTAGGTACACTCCAAAACTGAATTAGCAGAAGGTGCACATTGAATGCTTTAAGTTTAGAAAACCCTATTTACAAATTAAAACACACATGTTAAATATTGCAATAACAAACAACTTACTACATTCTGCATGTATTTAACTGTGTTTTCTTGAGTATTATTATTATTATTTTTGATAAGCTTGCTTGTCTTATTGACAAATTCACTTCCGGTTTTGTGAAATGGTTCTTTGTGTTTCACACAAAGTCCTTCAGAACAAAAGTAAACAACCTACAGAGCCCCCTAGTGGAATGGAGGAAGTCAATCCAACACTCCACCACTTCCAAAGTTGTGTTAAAGTAGAGAATTAAATTTGTTTTCCATGGTATTACTGCTGATTAAGTTTCTAAAGCACAGCTTTAGTTGTGATTGGTTTATATACGTTACTATGAAGGTCAAATGTAAGTTTATAAATTTGTGTTCATATGAATGTTAGAAAGGACTAAATGTACCTAATAATATCTTGTTTACATGTAGGCAGCAGCTGCGTTGTGTATTGTAGTAGGCAGTGGTGGGCACTAGTCGACCTAAATAAATTGACTAGCGCTTTAGAAATTGCACAACTAAATTTTGAATTAGTGCTGCCCACCATTGGTAGTAGGCAAAAAACAACACAATTCATAAATCTGTTATCAACCTAAGCAAAATTATTGTTAAAAAATCATCACAACTTGTAAAGATGGGACAAATGGCTCTTTGAAGGGATCCGAATCTTAGGGAGCCGTTTGTTTCATAGAGCCATTCAAAGGAGCAGTTCGATTTTGAACGTATTACGTCATCACGTAGGGAAATACATCACCACGTAGCCGTACGTAATGACGTCATCCCGTCACGTGGGTGGAATCATGTGTTTGTCAAGATGAAACCCCCCCCCCCCCCCCCGTGAGCTTCTGTACTCAACAAGTCCACTTGTTTTCTGTGAAAAAGCAAAGCGGGAGCAATTTAAGTATGAAAAATAAAGAAATAAAACTACAAATGGCTCGTTACTGCCCGCGATTCGGGTCCTATCATTCGTTGTAAAGAGCCGTTCAAAAGATTCGGATCGTTCGCGAACGTCACATCTCTAACAACTTGTGTTTTCTTTGACTTAATCAGCCTCCTGTCAGGGCACAGCAGCCGCGATGTGGAGCTGGAGTAATGACTGTAATAACACCGAGTGTATCCTCTTCATATCCTGCTCTCACACTCCTCACTGCAGAGGTCCACAACAAACAGAGCAGAGCACTTCAAACTCACACAGCAGAAGTCTATTCTGTCACTGTCTGCCTGGTTTAGTGTAGGAGGTTTGACTTAAAATGTGAACTTTCACCTGGAGGAGAAATCAAATTAAAACACTTGCATGTCTACTGCTTAAAGCTCTTCTCCTTAAACAAAATCCACTTCACATTTCAGCTCAGGAAAATTGTTTTTGTCTCAGCACTCTTGTATAAAACTGAAATGACCCACAGTAAAGGTTTGAAGTCTGAACAGCATCCTGTGACGACATGTCTACTCTAACCTGCTGGCCTCTAACTCGTGGCTGTAGGATTTTTAGTAAGTCATTATCTACGGTGTGGAGATAAGCATATTGCCCGCATCTGATCTGCTACCATTTACCCCAGGCAGACAGGAGCAGAAACAAGCAAAGCAGGGTGGCATGCAAGCCTGCAGTTGACCTACTTACTGTCTCACTCTTTGCTCATTTCCACTGTTGTAATGAAATCAGGAGTAATTACCAAGTTCTAAGCCTTTCACTGTACAATAAGTCACAAGGCAGTGAAAATCACAGGCACAAAAGAAGGTTGGAAAAAAAGAAAAGTGATTACACACTTCAAGGTGAAGGTGAAATCACATCTCTTAGCTGATGCTACTGCAGATTTACTCTAATATTAGTTTTTTGTATTTTTTTAATTCAGACAAATAAGATTTTTTTAATGTCCCACAAAAACGTCCAGTTGGACCGCAGCTTGAAGCGTAGAGACCAGTTCATGGTCAAATCTGGTATAGAACGCACATTTCTGTATCTCATCCTGCTGTAGGAGCTTAGAATGCCGAGATTAAAAAGGTAATCTGCAAAATCCATGGTTTGAATTAGTTTTGTGACATCCGAGGCCATGGTCAATAGCAATTACATTTTTATAGCACAAATATACATTATTTTGTGAGTTCCATGCCCATTGAAATTAATTTACTTAGAATCCAGGTATAAATAAATAAAATATAATAACATCAAATAAAATTTTAAAAGTTTTTCTTTTGTCCAAAAGATTATAAGGTCTTAATTTTGGCTTAAATTAATTTGCATAGCATTGATTAAAGGAATGCATACTTCCCGCCAAATTTCAATCCAGAGTTTTAAACTAAGATCATTTTATGATGAAACATGACCGAATTACAGACCAGGGCCCAGATTTTTTTAACTTCTTAGAATTACTCTTAAGAATGCTGCTAAGAGTGGACTTAAGTGTAAAAAATTCTTAGTTAAAATCTGAGAGTAAAAGTCAGTTATCAAGCATCTCAGACTCTCAGTCTTACTTTAAGCGGTGTGTGAGCACACAAGGACACAACCCCTAATCCTAACACCCCCACCCCCCATGCGCACTCCATCATTGTATCACGTGATATATGATAAAGTTCAATCCCACTGCAATTTTTTTAGAAGGGGGGGTTTGCATGCTCTCACCAGTTGAGTATATTTAATATTATATCCAAAAGCCACACAAATATCTGCCTTTTAGTCCAACTTTATGAGTAGTTTCTTTTTTTAAAAACATTTATTTAGTTTGTATTTCTGACTAAACCTGTTTTCCACCTTATAACTGAGAATAACACTCAGGCTGGAAGGAGGACAGCTACGTATGTTCTCTGTGTGATCTCTGTCTTCAGTCCATCTCAGACCCCTAGTGGCAACTCTTAACCACTTAAGAGTCCTCTGGTGCAGTCTTAACTTTCCAGGAGAGTAAGAATGATTCTTAGACTTAAGAATTTTGATAATTTGCTTTTACACAAGTCAGAGAGTAGGAGCAAATCTAAGAAATTTTCAACACTTAAGTCTAAAATTTCACTCTAAGAAGTTTGATAAATACGAGCCCTGGTAGTGTCAACAGAAAAATGGTAGCCCCTTCCATCATTTAAGTTGCCCATCCCTGCTTTAGATTATTCTAGGTTGATGTTTGTGGAACCCTAGCCTGGCCCTTGCCTTCCTATACAGCTCCGCTCAATTCTAGTTTCTCTTCACTGCTCCGTCTGGGACTTCTCCCATTGAGATGGATTTRGCTGGCAGATTTTVAGCCGGGCRAATCAGAGAACAGAACGTCAATTTTCTGTGCAGTGTTATAGTTTATTTTACCTGGGCCAATCAGCAAACAGAAGGCGGAGTTTTGAATGACGTCGATGTTCTGCGCAGTGTCTGCCAGTTAGTTTAGCATACGGCAGTGGAGGAAGTGAATGAAGCCAGTCCGTGTTGATAAGGCTTCCAAATAAAAATAAATTTGTCTGACAAAGCAGCAGCTCTCATTTACAGTCGTCTTGTTCGGCTCGGTTTATTTCTCGTCTCAGTAGGGTTGTTTACAGCACACGAGATTTCCGGTTAGCTTCTTAGCTTAGTCTCCTTCACACCGACAACACACACTTGCTTCAGCAGAGGCCACGTCTCCTGCAAGAAACGCTTCTCTATGCAGCAAGTCCAGACCCTTGTACGAGGCAAATTGAAGGACAGGGTCTGGTTTTAACCAGGCTAGTGGAACCCATGTCAGCACAAAAACATAAATTCATCTGTCAGCATGTTGGTGGAGGGCTGATGGTCTGAATATCTTTGTTTTGTTTAGGAGAATTCTCATTAGGTTTGTTATTTAGAAAAATAAATATGCTACAGGTTGTGAAAGGTCAAGGTCATTTGACACCAATACATGGAAGCCATATGCATGTTAGCAGCTTTTGTCCCAGTAATAAAACTGACAATATGTTTATCATGTTCTGTTTTCAGAATGAAAGGTATCGCCCACCTGAAAAAGCCCATGCTCACCTGTCCAGTGTAGGCAAAATCCAAAGCATGTTTGAGTCCAACGCTGGTCACTCCTTGTAGTGTCACTTCGTCTGCCTCACTCTCCACCATACACAGGCTGAACATGGCCTGGTGACACACAGTCCAAACACTGAGCTCAGCTGAGGGAGAACAGTATCAGAAATATATAATCCAACATTTTTATGACAAGCTAAAAACGACCCTTTAATTCTAGTTTAACAGAGACAAGTCGGAGATAGTTACAGTGAAAGCCTATATAAGATTGAGTGTGCACTTTTAACACATTCTCACTCCCAACTCGTCACATACTGATGCTTTTCCAAGGTTCCCTCTGCATCCGGTTTTGACGCGTCKGGTTGCAAAATATAGGGGTCTTTGAGTTGGGGTCCATGGTTAATAATAGAGAGGGTAAATTTTAGGTAGTGGGATCAGGTACAGTATATGATGTCTAGGGCGAATATTAGGTCATTTTAGGGTTTGGGACACGCAGTTGATGTGGATTTCCTACACTTTCTAAAAATGGTTAATTTTAGGGATATGGGTTGAGGGTAGGGGTGTCCCGATACCAGTTTTTTCAAGACTGAGTACAAGTACGAGTACTTCAGTTTAGGTACTCACCGATACCGATACCAAGTAGCGAGGTTACGGTGGATTATCTGTTCAACTTGTTGAATATTAAACAGAATGAAAATGAAATGCAATTATCAAGCAAAAATTGATGGGTAAATATTATGTTTGACAATAAAAAGGTAGTGCAAACTCTGACAAGTAGATAAGTTGGTATATATATAACACCATAACTTTTGAAACCATTTATTTTATTTCAAACAGGCTCTTTTTTATAAGGCCACACTCCCTCTGAATGTATGAATACAAATACTGCAAAACAAATGCTGTTGCATACATTAAAAAACAAAATAAGTTATTTTTATTCATTTTCCTCAACATGCAACTACCAAATTTAAATTAAAATGTAAACTATAACGTAAATTTTAGCAGCATATCTATAGAAGTTTACTCTGCTTCAGTCTTAAACTGTTAAAAAAAATGACTAATAGTAATAAAGTGCAGTAAATTTCAGTTCAAACTTAAATGGAACAACTAAAACAAAGTCTCAGAAGAACCAGAGGGAAAAATAAAATGCTTTTACAACAAACTTCCTTCCATATTCTGCTTARGTCTTAGTTTGTTCTACAAGAAAGGAAAAAAACAGCATTGAAGTTACTGCAACAACAGTGCTGTTTATGAAGGCTACTGCTAGCAGCAGCAAACTCTTTGAATTCTTTGTCATGTCTTGTCCTCAAATGTTGAATCAAATTGCTGGTGTTAAAACATCCAACTTCCGCTCCTCCCCCTGACAGTTAGCAGAGCACAGCAGACAGTCTGCTTGTTTGGTGTCCTCCGTGCCGATCTTAAAATATCTCCAAACTGCCGACGTTACTTCTTCTTCTTCTCATCGTTCTTCTTCGGTTATTCGGGGGTGCGGTCGGAAATAACTTGTCAGTGTGTTAGCGCCCCCGCCTGGTATGGATTGTGGTTTACCCTTTGTGCTGCAGTGCAGCACAGGAGGAACAAAAAAGGGGACAAAAGCGGTATCGGTTAAGAGTATCGGCCGGCTTTTACGAGTACGAGTACGAGTACTTGATGCTGGTATCMGACCCGATACCGATACTGGTATCAGTATCGGGACACCTCTAGTTGAGGGTTAATTGGGACAGAATGTCTAGAGAGAATAAAGGTCATTTTAGGCTTTGGGATGKTTAGATTTGTGCATTTTCTACACTTTCTGAAATAATGACCATGGATTCCACCCCATCTTGTCAATAACTGATGGGAGGGAGGTACCTGACGCGTCAAAACTGGACGCAGTGGGAACCTTGGAAAAGCGTCAATATGTGACGAGTTGGGAGTGAGAATGGGTTGGCACTTTCTGTATTCTGGGGTAATTTGAAAGAAAACTGAGTCTTATAGCAGTGACAGAAACACTGGGTTAAAAAAAGACAAAATGCTTATGTTTCTATGTGTAAATAGTCTAAGAATGTAAAGATAAGATTGTGGAAATAAAAAAAAATTGTTCTTAAAGAAATTGGAAATTTTAAACTCTAAAAATTGAACTTGCTTTGGTAAACTCTCCAAAAATAACATTTAAAAACTTGTGATTGTGTAAAAAGCATTAAATATATCAAAATGTCAATTCAGTGACCTTTTGAGACCTGTTTGAACAATGTTTTCACTAAAAATATGCCTGAACTACAGAACTCTAATAAGAATGAGATTTTCTCCCTTGTTTTATCAAAACCCCACTGTTGTAAAAGGGTAAATGTTTCATATTTTTTGTTGAATACATCCATGTCATATGCTAACAAAAGTTATAGCKCATGATTCCTGATGTTTTCTGCATGTTTTGTGTATTTTCTGTTGAGTTTTAATAAATCTACAAGAGAAGATTTACTGTGAATCAAAATGTGTGATGGAAACAAAAGATTAATGATAACAGAAGCCTAAATGCTTACGTGCAGGCAACCAACCCCTTAACCACCAACGTACCGCCTACAATACTTTCCCAGTTTGTGGTTACTTCCTGCCTCTTTATAGCCTACCAGGGACTTTGAATTAGCATATTAGGCTGTTCAAGTAGTTTGATTGGTTATCTGCTTTCGATTGACACCTCTTTTGACCAACTGGGTTCATCTAAAGACTCTCCAGAGCCCAAAATGTGTAGCAAGCCCCTCATGTTCCACCTGTCTGTGGTGCATGCAATGGATTGACTAGAATTGGCCAATCAGCTCTGAGCTTCATTCTGACACCACAGCTGTGTAGAAAATCAAGTTACCTTTGATATGCACTTTCGGAAATTAAAAAAAGGTTAATTGTTATAGTGTATTTAACTACAATGACTAAATACTAGTTACAGTTACACAAATGACTGCTCAAGTTAAAAATGCAGATTGATAGCTTATCATGGAGACTAAGGCTTGTGCATTTACTCCAAAGCTTTCAAGAGCAGTACTTTATTTAATTTGGGTTAGGGTTAGGCCCGCAGATTAACAGGTTAAGGTAGTGTCTCAGCGGGCTGTGACTAGTTGGTAAACAGCATTCTTGACTTGAGGATATCTCCAAAATGTCTCAAAGATTTTTCAAGGTTTTTTATTATCCTTGCTTGAAATGCAGAGAGTGAAAATTTGAACAGGCTCAAAAAATTTGTGACCGATTTTCTCAAATCCTTTTCGAGTTTGTTACTCGCAAACTAGTCTCCAGCTATCAAAGCACAATGTGATACTACTTTAAATAAAGGCAAACCCTGCATCACTAAATGTCTTTCAACCAATGGGCCTTGTTGCTACCATTGATCCAGCTTTGTTTCATCAAATATGAGAGTTTCCAGTACTGACAGGTTGAAAATTTGGTTTTATTTGTGACCATGAGCGGAAAAGCCTAGAACTAACCTGGCAGACACAACACTGGAGATTTTCTCTGTATTGATTTACTAACCTAGGAGGTCAGCAGAGACGAACAGCACAATCAGTACTTTGTATTACACCTCTCTGTCTCATCCTCACACACACAAACACACACACACACACACACGCATTCACACACAGAGATATGCAGTCACATGAATGCACGCTGAGCTTCATGCGAAATCAAAGCAGCGGATGTGGGGTCTGCAGTCTGGCTCTGCTGTGTGGGAGTTCAGCTGCCAGCTCACTAATCAAAGCTATTGACTGGTGTCACACCATGGGGGGATGGCAGGACTATTGATCAGTGCCAACCAGAAGACATCAGCCACATGGACAGGGAGAACGATGAAAGAAATTAGGATTTAATTTACATTTTTCTTCAAGATTACAGCGATACAAACAGCATAATAATTATCTGCCTTTGGGATTTGTTGCCAATATAGACAATGTTGCTTTAATTGCCTTGAGATAGAAAATATACTAACTTGCAGTTTTTAACTATCTGATAGTTTTTTATGTTCAATCACAGAGGTAGTGTGCTGCAAAATCACACAGCAATACAGCTTCAAAGGCCCACTAGCTGTTCAGTTTGCGTAGCATTTCCTTTTATCTTGAAATCACTCAAATTTGTCCAATTTTCCCCTGATTCACAGCACACATGAACTTTTAATTCTAAGTCTGATAAGTGAGATCGGGTCGCCTCAAGGCTACGCTGAGTTTTCACCAATGACTGTGCAGAACTCAGCCTTGTTGATTCACTGCTGTGCTAATTAAGAATCCATTGGTCCACCAAGCACAGGAGGGCCTGGGGTTTCAGGGTGTGTTGTCAGAGTGTGAAACAAAACAATAAATAAATAAAATGAACAGAGGCAGAGTCTACCTCCGTGTCTGCAGAGCTGATCACCTGAACGCCCCTGGCTTTGACAGAGAGGTGACGGATGGCTCCTGCAGTTCAGTCCATAAACCCACCACAGAGGTACACTGAGCTTCAGAGCAGACCCCAGTTCTGCAGTGGGAGGGTAGCTCTTCAGTGAGTCTGACCTGTCGGCAAAATTGATGAGTGTCTGCTGGATGTGATATCTCCAGACAAGAACTCGTGACTTCCTCACCCATCCAGTAAAATATTAGGTTTGGGTGGGGCTGTCTCCAGGTCTGTGAGAAATATTGGGTCATTTCTTTTTGGCTGAGGCTATTTTTACTTGTCTTGGAAATTGTTTCATTCTGACCTTGTTCCCAAGCCAGTCTGGAACCTAGACTATACTGTAATGGGAAGACTTTTTTGTTGCTGTTCTTTTTACTATTTTTTACTGATAAATACCACAGCATGAACAACTCCTCCATAAATAAAACATCTATTTGATCCCCTGTATGTTGAGCTGCAAAATTATATATGTAAAAATTATACATGTACAAACTATACTGTATATGCAAAAACCTACTGAAGAGAATATTTTTCACTTTAATCAGTATTTCTGTTCTTATTGACCTGTGAAGTCCTGTTTCCTTCCTGTGTTGACACATCACTGRTGTGCTTTTGGCAGTGTTACGTCCCCTGGAACAGTGTGAAACTACTGGCATAAACTGAAGCTCCCTAGGCAGAAGTGTGAAAGGAACATCCTCCACCCATACTGTTCTGTGACCTTGCAT